AGAAAGACGGGGGGGCGCTTGTCGACACACGCCGCACCGAACCAACGCCTGGGGCGGATCCTTCCGAATAGAGGCCCGCCCCAATGGACGGACCTTCACACAGTCCGGGAAGTTACGAAACGGGTTCGACCCGACTCTGGATCGGAGCTCCGATAAATGCTCGCACGATGCCCCACAGCCAGTTGTAGCGGTGTAAACATCCGGTGACCCGTTTTCCGGCGCCCTATTATCGATCTGAGGATTTTCGGATTCAGTTTGGATCAGATGATTGCACTCAGACATTGCAGCTGGAAATGAAGGGCAAAATGGGAAAAAACAGAGCAATCAAAGATTGAAGCTTGTAATCTATGTTAATAGAAAACTTCATGGATCAAAGTAAACAACCAAACTGAAAAAAAAGAAATCGATGGAGTTATCATTTTAGTATAAAGTTCAGATCTGCAACAATTTTCAGCCATTGATAGAAACAAAAATGGAGGAGAAGGTTGGGGTGGAATGGGGGAGAGGGGTTGTGGGGTGGGGTAGGGAGTTGGAAGTGTTTCTTGGTGCTATTTGTGAAGAGTTTTGATCCAAAAAGTAAGGAAAATGTTTGGGGCAAACAAACATTTTATTTTAAGAATTGGATCTAGACAATTTCACTTTTTTTTTATTGGCAAATGATTGAGCCGAGGGTCTATCATGAATAATTTAAGGTAGATGTAAAGTTTCGTAGAATTTAATAACCGACAAATTTTATAGATTAACAATAAAATTCATCACAAATCTTATTTAGCAACGAATTTGTGTTAGCTACTAACATATATCGATGGATTAGCGATGGAGTTCGTAGAACTCACTTCATAGAACTATGTTAGGTATGTTGTTAGGGAGTGTGTGGTGGAGTTTAGAAGAATCAATGATAGGATGATGACGATTATGCTAGTTGTTGACGTTGAACGTTTCAAGTGGGTCTGGACGAGGAGGCCAAAAAGCTCTTTTTGGAGGATTTGGATGAGGCAATGAGAGATATATTGAACACCGAGAAGATTTTCATTGGTGGGGATTTTAATGGTCATATCGGTGTAACTTCTAGTGGCTTTGATAATATTCAAGGAGCCTTTGATTATGGAGAGAGGAATAGAGGTAGAGCGTTGCTTCCAAATTTTGCTGAAGTCTTTGAGTTGGTAATTGCTAACTTGTGCTTTCCAAAGAAGGAGAACTATTTGGTTATCTTTCGTAACACGATAGCTAAGACACAAATAAATTACTTACTCCTTAGAAAGGGGATAAAGGCCTTGGTGAGGATTGCAAGGTTAATTCGAATGAGAATATTACTATCCAACATAAGCTTTTGGTGATGGACTTAGAGACTAAGAGAGATAAGAGGAAAAAGACTATTTATTTTCAACCGATGATTAGATGGGGTGGTTTGACCCTTGCCCTTTCTCAAGAAATGGGAGAGAAGTTAATTGTGATGAAGGCATGAAGTAATAGCGGGGAAGTGAACAACATGTGAGATAAGACTGCTAAATTACATTAGGGAAACAACTGTAGAGGTTTTAAGAGAATCGAGAGGGAACTTTGGTGGTCATCAAGCAGATTGGTGGTGGAACGGTGAAGTCCAAGACAATTAGAAGAAAAAAATGTGGGTTATATTAAGTGGGTTGAGTGCGTGGACTGAACGCTTAAGGAAGCCTATAAGACAACGAAGACGAAAGCTATATTGGCGGTTACAATTCCTAAGATGATAGTTTTCGAACGCTTGTATGTCGAGCTAAGACACAAAAGTAGGGATAAGAAATTGTATAGGCTCGTGAAAGCGAAAGAGAAAGGCTCGCGACTTAGATCAAGTGAAGTGCATCAAGGATGAAGAAGACAATGTGTTGGTGGAAGAGACCTTCATAAACTCTTAAATGAAGAAGAGGACAGAGACATTGTGTTGGGTGAATTGGTACATTCTGAAGACTGCAGGACTTTGGGCACTGTAGGTGTTTTAGGGTTGAGGAGGTTACACTTGTTATTAGTAGGATGAGCAGGGGAAGAGCGAGTATCAAATTGCTAAGACATACTGTGAAGGTTTGGGAGATATTGGTGGAGAAAAGGGTGAAGAGAAGGATATCAATTTCAAGAACTAATTTGGATTCATGTTAGGTCGATCAACTACTGAAGTCATGTATCTTATGCAGAGACCGATGGAGAAATATAGGAAAAGAAAGAGGGACCCACATAGGGTGTTTATTGATCTTGAAAAAAAACTTATGACAAATTCCTGAGAAATTTCCTCTAAAGATGTTTGGAGGATAAAAGTGTCCCAGTAGTTTATATTAGGAAGATAAAAGATATGTATGATGGAGCCAAGACTCAGGTTAGAACGGTGGGAAGAGACTCGGAGACCTTTCTAGTTAAGATTGGGCTACATCAGGGATCAGTTCTTTACCCTTTTTTATTTGTCTTGGTGATGGATGAGCTTACTCCCTCTATTTAAGAAGGTGTTCCATGGTGTATGTTATTCGCGGAGGACATAGTACTGATTGATAAGGCACGAGACAAAGTTAATGATAAGTTGGAGGTATGGAAACAAACTTTGGAAGTCAAAGGGTTTAGGTTGAGCAAGAGCAAAACATAATATTTAGAGTGCAAATTCAGTGTTGTGTTGGACGAAGTGGACATGGAAGTCGCACGGTCTTTTTTGGAAAGAGAAAGTTTAAAATATCTTGGGTCTGTTATCCAGGGAAGCGGGGACATGGATGATAATGCCACACATCGAATTGGGGCGGCTTGGATGAAATAGAGGCTTGTCTCTAGAGTCTTATGTGATAAAAAGATACCACATGAACTTAAAGGTAAGTTCTACAGAGTTGTGGTTAGACCGTCCTTATTGTATGAGGTGGAGTGCTGACCAATTAAGAACTCACATGTTTAGAATATGCATGTTGCAGAGATAAGGATGTTGATATATATGTGTAGGCATACTAGGAGTGGCAAGATCAAGAATGAGATTATCCGGGAGAAGGTGATAGTGGCCTCTGTGACGGATAAGATGAAAAAAGTGAGATTGAGATGTTTGAGCATGTGCAGAGGATGGGCATCGATTCCCAGTAAGGAGGTGCGAGAGAATAGTCGTAAGGGGTACGCAGAAAAGTAGGGGTAGACAGAAAAAATGTATGGATATATGATTAGACAGAACATGACACAACTTCCTATTACTGGGAACATGACCTTAGATAGGAAAAAGTGGAGGTCGCATATCAAGGTAGAAGGTTAATAGGGGTAGAGTGTTGTCTTACCTTATGTAGGTCTAGTGTTTGTTATAGGACTAGTCATAAGTTCTTGTCATTTGTTGTCTATTGTATTTCAGTTTTCACACTATTTTGACGTTTTTATTGTACTGCTCTTGTAGACTTTGCATTGCTATGCTTATTAACCGCTATGCTTTCTTCCACTATTTTCGTCTTCTGTTACTTGGGTTTGATGCACTTGAGTCGAATGATCTTCGGAAACAGCTTTTCTACCTCCGTGAGGTAGTGGTAAGGTACACTTTACCCTCCCAAGACATCACTTTGTGGGATTTCACTGAATATGTTATTGTTATTGTTGTATATTGGCATATGACAGACTCACTAAAATTATAACAAAACTTCTTCAAGAGGCAGTCTATTTTTGTTAGAGAGAAAAAAAATATGATATTCCAAGTTTTACGCTACTCATAACAAATAATGATTTTTTGTGTGTATCTAAGTGAAAAATCGTACAAGCAATTTCAGGAGGTTGTTTATGTATTTGGCTAGAAATGAAATAAAGAAAATTACATGAGTGGTTCAACAAGAACATTTTGAATATATCTAGGATTGATTGAGGTATTTAAATAAAAATATGTGGTAACTTTAAAGGCTCTTCTAATTTATGTTACTGAATTTGTTAGTGTAGATTAGGATGAAGATTTTAGAGATTGCTATAATTTGTAGGCAAAATTATTTTATGGTATTATTAAAAAATGGGTATAAAAGTCTATAATCTATGGACACAAAGTACAACACAAATAATTTGAATTAGGGGCTTTAATTAAATCATAGCAAATTTCATAGATCATCAAAATTTATCATGGAGTGGTAAATATTCTTTCATTTGTAATTAGAAATGTTGGGTTCGAGCTTTCGATATAAAAACAGTTTTGTAAAAAGCGTTTTACTCCCCAAAGTGAGGTTTCTCAAGGCGAATTCAAATTAATCATAGTTGAGCTCCAAAATAAATATCGAATACCGAATAAAATAAAAAATAAAAAATTGGGGACCAAAGAAGGACCTACAAATTCCAAAGAAATGAGTGAAGTAGAGATGGTCCTATCAATTGAATCCTTATCACCACAATATTCCACTATAATGATGAAAAGGTCTTCAACAACTTGTACAATGTTCACAAAAGCTATTCCTCTAACTTTACTATTTCTGTACTTTTTATGATTTTCTATTGGTTCTTGCATTTCATGGCTATGTAATAACAATAACAATATATTCAGTGTAGTTTCACAACTGCTTCAAAGATAGAGAAATTATTTCCGATAGATTCTTAGCTCAACCTAAATAGCTTTTAACTATATAAAAAAAGTAACCACTTTTAAGACACTTTAAAAGAAATAATGTCAATTTTATTCTCATGGTCTTTCATTTAATATTATTATTGAAATGAAAAGAGTAGACCTAACTGCCAAAGTTTTAAATATAATATCATGTGAAAAGTCATTACAAAATATCATTTTCAGATCTTTGAAAGAAACTGCATCATCACAAAACACCATATTCATTTTTTTTAAATGACTTGAATAGTAAAAGAACTCACATTTTACTTGCTGAACAGAGTTACTCGATATTTGTGCGGTGGAAAGTACCAAACACCTCGTGAAATTAAGGGAGATGCACACAAAATGACCCGAACATCACGGTTAAAAAACAACTAGAAACTGCAAATTGGGTCATTTGGGCACACTTCTTTCACACATTTACACTAATAATATATGTAGCTTGAGCAATTACAGGTACAACAACAACAACTACTATGCCTCGATCCCAAGCAAGTATGGGTCGGCTGTACGAATTCCCACTACTTGTACTTGAGCAATTACAAGTAGAGTGAGTAATTTACAAAGTGCAGAAAGTAGGTAATCTTGTGTGTTCACAGTTCGATAATTCGTTTAATGAGGCAAAAGCAACTTGGACCTGCCAAACAACTCAATAGCAGCAAATGCATCCTCTGCAGAAGTTGAAACTCTAGTCATTACAAGATCAGTATTCAAGGAAGAACCATGTTCATAAACTTTCTCTTGGAAAATGCTGACCACCATTTGTTAGGTGTTCCGTTAGGCCGATAAGCAACGCTTAATAATCTCCCGCTAGTTTCCTCCCTTATTTGCTTCAGATAATTCCTGAATAGTTCTGAGTTCAAATGTGACAGCCAGAACAAAAAGATCCATATCCATTAGTCTGAGAGCCACACATCTACGAAAGAGAAAACAGAAAAGAAGAAAAAGAACAAGATAACAAAAGGAGAGTAAAATTTGTCTAATATTTGAGGTATACAGTTTTCTGACGAGATAGAATAAATGCAAAATGGTATCTTGATGTCTATAAAAGCAAAAGAGAAACAAAAGTAAGAGACATTATGTCACAGTCCATATAAGAATAAGTATCCTTTTGGAAGTCGGTTACAAAATACTGCAAAGGTGTCACAAACAAAGAAGTGCCACACCATTTCAATATATTGTGCTAAAAAATATCAAAATATAATCAAACTATATTTCAAAATGGACGTGAAAGCATAAAAGGGCAATAAAGCATATCACTTCGGACAAAAATATTACAGTTATATTTACGTGAAAAGAGGAGAAAAGGAAAAAGAGATATCTGAGAAATAGACGAAGCTATTTCACTCTCTAAATCTGATCACTCTGTCAACTTCAGACACCCTAAGCTGGAATTCATTTTCTAGACTACACAATAACTCTTTCCTCCCGTCAGATTCCTCCAAAATAATGTTTGTTCATATTATTTTGGGACAATTTGAGGCCATAGGAGGTGATTGAAAAGATTGAACACAGATGCATGGAACAACCCAGGGGATCACGAAACTGTTAGCCGCAGTTTTCTGTCAGACTGCTAATGATTAGCTCATAAGATGACAACTACCATCTGTTTCCTCAGATTACAATGGCTAATGGCAAGTATATTTCAGTCAGGTGTTCCTTCTTTTTTGCAATAGAAGTCATTGAGGGGCTCAGAGTTGACACTAACAAACATACTTAGATTTTCCTAATTTCGCCAAAGTACTTTCAAAATGTCACAGTTGACAAGCTTTGGACCAACACTACTACACAGTTTGTGTAATGATAATCCACTATTACTTTTATAACAGAATACAATTTTATCAGACAACACCCAAAGGACTCGGGCTATATACAAAGTGTACAAAAAACCCATCATTTTTAATCTTTTAATCCAACTTCTACTGACCATCCTACCATGAAGAACAGAGACGTCCATACAAGGTCATAACTCTCAAATAGTGGTTGTACAAAGACTGACAAACCCTTCATCCATCAGAAAATGGAACCTTCTGTGGGATGAGGGATTTAAAATGGTAAATGGTTTAGGAGAAGATTGACAGTAGAGAAAAACACAAGGTATTGCTGAGTGTTTTTCGATCCGAGGCGGCACAATTTAGGAAAAAGAGTACAATCGAATAAAATAAATTGCAGTTTTGACAGGGTCTGGATATCCATTACTTGGCAAAAGTGATAAAGCACATCAAATTCAGTCAAAGATAATGGAGTTCACAAAAGTCTTCTGTTTTGCCCTTTTCTTTTTTTGGAAATTGGCATCAGGAAGTTTTCACACCATCAACCCACATTGACTCATCCCAATTCTTTAAGAAAGAGATTGTTGATCCCAATTTCTTTTACCCTATTAAGAAAGTTTTCAAGCTCATATAGTTTTTCTCCACTTAGAAGTTAGAACCAAATACAAGGTTGTAACATGTCAAAGAGGTTTCAAGCCATACAAATGTAGTGTATCTGAAAATACCAGAAGAATTAAATTGGCACAATTAAACTAGGATATCATCATTTGAATAATTATGAGCTGGGAACTTGTTTGTTTTCATTTTAGAATCTCAAAGAAAAAAAATGCAAGCAAACTAGCGAACTCAAAATCAACCAAAATCATTTATTGGCGGTTTAAACACATAGAAAAAGAAGGTTGCTTGGTTCAAATAACAAGTTACCTGCTTCTTTTTGAGATTGGGCTGGAGAAAATAAGCCTGGGAATGGGAAACCTGCCTCTCCAGGTACAGGAACATTTTCCAGACCTAGGTTGATGATAGCCTTGGTTCCTTCAGCTAAAGTTCGGCAGCCTTCAAGCCTCTTTAAAGCAATATTGATATACAATGTCAAATAGATAAGTAGCTTGTCAGATGAGCTTTTAATATCAAAGTTTTTGAAGAAGACATTTGCTCGGAAGAATGTGATTGCTTCATCGACAATATCAGTTGTATCTGCTCAAAAAATAAGATTAGCATCACCATAGTAATGTGGAGACATCTTAAGAAGGAAAAGATTTGCAAGACAACCTTGTTCTGAAACTGGAGCAGGTCCCCTTATATGGCTTTTCAGAGGTAATAAAGGGCATCCACAAGCTTTACTAATTCCTTCCTCATCAACAAAACTGGAATGATAAACCTGCAATTGAATCAAAATCAGGTTTCAGCACTCAATGGGGCAAATTATTTTTGGGTTTAGACACCCTGTAAAACAAAAAGAATAATGTGAATAAAATAGAAAGGAGAAATTCATTAGAGTTGAATACAGAAAATTCATTGTCAAGACAAATAGAGTCCTCATACAACCCCAGATAGCACGATGCACATTACGGAAGATCACGAACTATCATAAGGACCATCTACACGTTCCAAGACCAAGAGCATCCATGGATTAGACGTCAAGGAGGTACACGATCTCTAAGAGATAGTCAAAAGATGCTTGGAGAGCACATCGAAGATTCGAGCAAAGCATATCATGTTTGAGAGTTAAAAAAAGTTGCTGGAAAGTAAAGTCCAGCACAGGGCGAAGGCATTGGGTGTCGACCGGAGGAGCTAAGGCTGGACGCTTTGCACCGAACACAAACACAAAAAGTTAAGTGGACTGGAAATTACGACTCAGTGCGAGCGTGCTGAACTTGAGGAATTAAGTCAAGCACGACACACTGGTCTGACAAATTGGGAGGCTTTTCAGTTTTGTGCAATTTTGTCTTTTCACAAACATAGGTATTATCTACATATAAGGTTGGACTCGTTTTTTAGAGAGGTTTTAACATATTTTGAGATTGATATATTTCCGAGGTTCGAACAGTCTTTGTTTGGACTGAATTTCACAATTACTTTCAAGCTTGAACCTCGGTGGTAATTCTTTTTAATTTTAAATCCTTATATTTTTGGTTCTTTCTTGCCTGCTCTTCAATGACGGTTGGAATTTCTGTCGTGTTATTTCCATTGATCAGATATTGTACTGCTTGCATGTATCCAAATCATATCTAAGTCCCCTGTCTCTAAATCAGTTACTGTGTTGTTTATCACCATTACACTTTAGACTTTTGAAGTGAGTACAAATCAAAGAAAAGACCGCAATCCAGTTACTGTGTTGTTTATCACCATTACACTTGAGACTTTTGAAGTGAGTACAAATCAAAGAAAAGATCGCAATCCATCCCATATTGTCAATAACAGATCCTCATTGCCAAGATGTGTTGGAAACAAAATATACCATTTGTCCTTTATTTATTTCTCTTTGAAGAAACCAAAGTATAACTCAAAAATAGTGGAATGAAGATATGAAATGTAAGCCATGTAGCTCATTTAGTGCACCAAACCACGAAAAGGGCCAAGTTCAATCACCAAAGGAAAAGAAACAGCATGGTTTTCATCATGTGTGGAAGTTATCACACTATCAACTCAGAGAGATAATTGTCACCAAAGTAATGAAAATATGTAAGCAAAAAATGCTTTCTTTACCATTTTCCTTGCTGAAAAATTTGTTTCTTAGCACCAGAAGGTAATGTACAATTCCCAACCAAAGAGGCTAAAACACCAATCTGCAGATGCACTCATCAAGTATCAGATAACTAAGAGTAATTGAAATACAACTAACATGACTCCAATATAAGAGGACGTGCATCAAAATTTACGATTACTTCGCCTACATCAGATAACTAGCTATGCATCTAATTAATATTCAGATAATCTTCCATCTAGTCCAACATCTTCCGTCCTCTCTCCCCTTGTTCCTTTTTTATTTTTTCAAGTTTCCAAATCGTCTGTGCCCTTTCATTCCCAACCATTCTATTCGTTTCTTTTTCATTTCCACTACTAGAGAATTATCCATTAAACATGGGCAGAGCTACAGCTTCGTCCAGAACCAGTAGGTTCGGCTCAAATCTTGTATTTATGTTTAAAAATCCACTTAATATGCATAAATAAGTTATCAATAACCTAGTAAAACCGTTTTCTAGAATCCATAAACTCAAATTCCTAGCTCAGCCTCGATTAAACATGGTTTAGCAAATCATGTAAGTTGCTTAACTTACATTTCCCATAACATCAATCATAATGCCAGTTCTTTCCCTGTTTTGTTACACATCAAAAAGTTCCCTCTATCGCCATAAAAACACTAATGTAGCATCTCATTTCCAATTTTGAGTTTTTTCCAGTCCAAATTCCATAAGCAAGAGCTCCGAACTAGCTATTTCCCCTCATTCCCAAGCGAATTAAATTAACTGAATTATGATATCAATTAAATAGTTTAAAGCATTATGGAAATAGTAATTATTATCACAGAAGTAACAATTACGGCAACAATTTCAACAACAAAAACGCAATCAGTTAAATTATGATCATAAGAGTAGATATGAAAAAATATGCAACAGATCGTAAATTTTACTTACTGGATTTGCGAGAAGAGATAGGTAATTTCACCGGCGAGAGTTTTTGAGATCGACGGGGATGGGTGATATTTTCCGTCGAAGATCAAAGAAGAAGTGAAGAGGGAATTGGGTATTAACGGTGACGGTAGTTGAAGATGGGCTTAACGATCAACTATTATTGGGCTTTCTGAATGAATTGGACTCAATGTTTATGGGCCTTTTCTTAACCAATTTGAAGTTTAGTAAAATAATACGATAATCAAAGCATAAGAAATAACAAGCGATAAAAGAAATTAAACGACGAGAAACTATATGAGCAATACTAGGACTACTAGTGTGGACGGATAGCAAGGCAACACACACTACTGCCTACTAACTTCCTTAGCCTAATACGTGCCCTTCATAACCTTACATCTAAGGTCATGTCCTTGGTAAGTTGAAAATGTGTCATGTTCTGTCTAATTACCTCGCCCCTAAATACTTCTTCGACCTACCTCAACCTTTTCTGAGACCGTCCATTACCTCTCATACCTTCATATTGGGACATTCATGCAGCTCCTCTTTACATGCATAAACCATTTTAGCGTTGTTTTCCACGTATTGTCCTTCATCAAAGTCACTCTCATGCACCTTGTCCCCAAATATCCTCATTTCTAATCATGTCTCTTTAGTATACCCACACATTCTTCGCAACATCTCATCTCCGTAGCTTTCATAATTTAAACGTGAAGGTTCTTGACTAATCAACACTCTATCTCATACAATATAGTAGGTCTAACCACCACTTTTTGTCAAACTTGCCTGGCATTTCTTTCCTCATGCTTTTTAGTTGATAATCTATTTTTAACATATACTCATATGTTGTGAGACGTGTTTATTGTATGTTACGGGTATATAGGTATCATTTGTTAAATGGCGTGAGTATATATGCATCATTTTTTTATTAAGAGATATATTCATTCTAAATCACAAAATTAAGGATATATTTGCCCCTTTTCCGTAAAGTAAATATGATTTTTAAGGTGTCTAGAATTAATAATAGACTAATTGAAATACCCTACTTTATAATTCACCAATAATGATGATAACCTAATTTCTAAAAGGAGAATAATTCCAGGAATAATGCTATTCTATGAAAACTTTTGATAATGACATTATTTTGAAAAAAATATTTCTCTACCTTTTCCTTTTTTAATTTGTGGTCCTCATTGTCTTAACTCTTAAGAATAATCAATCAGAAAATTCTGTCTTCAATCAGTTCAACTTGCAATGAATTTGAGGCTCAGCTTTTTTCTAATCACTTGGTTGATTTTTAATCGAAATATTGATATATTCCAACAAATTTAACATTTTTCTTTTTCTAGCAAAATTCAATATTTCAAAGTGGGGTGGGGGCGAAAAAGACCTATGATAGTCTTTGCGCCGAAGTTATATGAATGAAATTCAAACTAGTAAGTCAAATATACGAGGTTTTTGGAATAAGTTTTTAGTTAAGTTCAAATTAAAATTTTATTCGTAAATATAATAGTATAATCTATCTTGACTATGACATTTACTGATTAAACATTGTAATTTTTACAAATTAGTGTGAGCTAGCTGTGTATTAAAAAAAAACTTTAGGTCAAAATCAACATAATTAGCTAAGAAATCTAATATAATCTTATTTATTGTCCTTATGGTTTGTTAATCACCCAACAATAAAAATAACCACTAATTTTCTTTTATTTTCTACTCCATATTAGATTTTTATTTTAATTTCGATTAATTTGAATTCACGTTAAATAAAATTTATTGAAGGAGAAAATGGTTTTTCTACTAAAATCTTTCTCATTTTAAAGTTCAAACTTAAATCTCAATTTCGTCATTAATTTTGCATAAATATATTAAAAGAATTGAAAATGACTCATTAGTTAAACAAAGTCCAACCTACTTATTTGATAACATAAGCTACCTTGGTCCCTCCACGTGGCACCACCACATGTGCCAGACAAGGACATAATACTTGACACAACTAGGCACATATAAAGATTTTCTCACATAACTACTAAATTATAATTATTATATTATTTAATTATCATTTACATTGGAGTAGTTTTCAATTTGAATTTTATCTAAGTCAAAAAAACTAATTAATTAATATGCAACTTGTTTTCTATAATGATGTAATAGATCTTCCTTTGTAGAATATCTTACAAATAAATGAAATAAAATAATAAACATGTATAAAATTAGTAGAGTCCCACCAACAAAACTTAATCCCCACAACACCCCAAAAAATAAAACTTCAAAGTTATTGCAATGTCACTAAGGAAACTTCAAAAATTTGTGTTTGAGTGAGCAAGGAAAATTCCTTTCCAAGTACCAAAAGGAAATTTCAAAAGTTGTTGTTCAGACATATTCGATATTTATATTGAAGACTCGATTAATTTAGACGTGATCTGTGTAAAGCTTGGGATGCGTGAGCAAGGAAATATTATTTTCAAGTGTCAAAGGAAACTCCTCCATTCATATTCAGATCTCCATTCGTGTTGAATTGTGTGATTGAGCTTTTTAAATGAGATGGACACACAATTCAATATAATATTATTAAACTTCTCTTTGGATCAAATGTCTCAAATTCGAGTCTGAAAATGAAAAAAATTGTGATATTGAGCATTTCTCCGTTTAGTGGACCCCACACAAGGTAAATCTTGATAAATCAAGCTAGTAGATTGCAAGTAGTGAATGTCCAACCAAAAAACAAAAAGAGAAAGTCACAAAAACTTAACATATTCTACTATGTAAGTGAAAAAAATATATCAAGAGTCTAGTTGGGAGTTGGTGGACAAATGAAAAAAAAAAATCAGTATAGGAAACAACTTCTTCATAGAGATCCTTTTAAGACAAGCAACCTCTATTGTGACAATGACACTGACAACAGTGGCAAGAAACTAGGAAATCCACGCATACAACATATCCAATGTAATCCAATGAGTGGCGTTGGTGTGTACAGAGCCTTACCTTTACCTTGTGAAGGTAGACATGTTATTTTCGATTGAACCCTCCACTCAAATAAAGCATATCAAAATCAATAAAAAGTCTTTCTTTTCCATGCCCGAGATGGTCTTATGGGTAGCAGCCTCCCACAGAGACGGCGGATAACGCAGCGGATGATACAGACTTGGAAATAAGCAGATCATAGATAAAAAAATTTAGTGAAGAAGCCATGTAGAAAAAAGAATAATAGCCACAATCAATAATACGACATCCGAAGCAAATAAAACAACATGTAATAATAGAATCAAGTCATATTAAAAGAATATATACAAAAAAATTAACATGAGAATAGAGTCAAAAAACATAATCATACTACTCTATTTCCACACTAAACTCCAAGGAAAATGCACCTTCACTTTTTCTTATATTTTTAACAAAGGATCACAACTTGACTAAGCTAAAAGAATAGCACCAAAGCCTTTGTGGCCAAAGAATGAGACTGATCAATTGAACCTATTCTTGTCTACATAATATGCAACTAGCAACAAACCAACTTCAATCTATTATGCTAAATTAGGCTTGAAAATGAAGATGTCAATATGTAAGGAATGTTGGCAAGAGGACCTCTCTGGCATGCAAGTTCATGTATGTCCTTCACAATATCAAAGACAGCATTAGGTTGTGCAAGTTTCAGCGCGTTCTCTGACTTCCTTTTAAGCTCATCGCTTTTGGTGGTAAACCATTCTGCAACGATCCGAGCTGTTTCCTTGGGGCGTCGTGTGAAAACACCAGCTCCATTGTCGACTACGAACGGAACATTTCCCTTCTCCTGAAGATACACAAAAAGGGATGAATCAATAACAAGCTCAAATAAGCCACCAAGACTCAACTAGTCAACTTCTATAATTCACTAACTTGTCCGGGGATGTAGTCGTTCAGAATAATGGGAAGCCCTCTGATTAATGCTTCTGCAATTGTACCAGGTCCAGCCTATAAGGTGCAGAAAACAGAATTTTAGCAGTTGCGTCAAACAGGCGAGATAGTTTGTTGTAAAATTAAGCGACAGATTGACATACCTTTGTGATAATACAATCACAAGCGCCCATCCACTTTTCCATCTGTTTCTGAAATCCCTTGATCTGAACATTAACGAATATAAGATACGGTCAGACCTCTCTATAATAACATTTTACTACAACTGTCTAATTTTCTTTGGAAAACTTTCATATTATGTTTTGTAAGCCGTCCATCCTTAAAGGTTGTCGCTCCATTTACCTGAACGGGGATGCTCCATTCGAGTGATCGTAATGTGGATGCTAAGGCTTCATTGCGTCCACATATGACAATCATTTGACCGATAGGTTTGCCAAGTTCCTTATCGAAGAGTGCTTCTCCAAGAGCCTTTGCAGTTTTCTTCACAGGACCCATCCCTTCACCGCCACCCATCAGCAAAACCGCTGGCAATGTGGGATCCATCTCAAGTTCTACTCTAAGGTCATCCTACCGAAAGCATTGAGGAGGAAAATTAAAAAGAAGATTACTAATTAAATTTTCTTCTCACAAATGAAAAGGGAAAAATTGTCTTGAGGAAGAAAGAAAGAGAAATGGAGCCTTTTGTTCAGACATTCACCTTGGAAAGAACTGCCCGGCAAAAAGAAGGCCGGATGGGCAACCCAAAAACACGTATTTGAGATCCTTCCAAGCGATCTAGTGATGCCCTCTTTGCTACCTCCTCAGAGGGGCAGTACAAACGATTGACTCCTGGATGAAACCTGAAATAGAATGTTTTCATACGTCAGATTGTTATACGATATGAATGCATTAAGACTCTAGAATTCGTTAGCTATTTACCATGTCCGGTGGCAAGTGTTGAGATCCGTAATGACGGTTACGAAAATAACTTTTTTCTGTAGGCCTTGCCATTTAAGAACCCATAGAGGAATGTGTTGCATGAGAGGATGAACACTAATGATTATGTCTGGCTTGTACTCCATCAGGCCAGCTTCTACCTCTCTATAAATTCAACAATGCAAACAGAAATTAGAAACCCCTACGGAAGTTGGACGCTAAAAAGTTCAACACATTACTTCAAGAGCATTCATCTCCAATTTTCTTTTGAATGAAGTACCAAATGATCCATATCTTCGAAAAAGATACAAAGAAAAAGATCAATTTCCTACGCAACCATGACAGTAAATCGTTTTTTAACATCCTAGTAACAATTTAACGAGGCACAAGTGGTTATTAACAAAGGGAAAATCATAGAAAGAGTACAGTACATACAGAATCAAGAAAAAAATAAAACTCATTGAGCATTCCCCTAGAAAGAGCATTGTACATATAACAACAAAAAATATTTCTAACTTAAGACAAGGCACAAAAAGTTAAAAGCAGAGAAGACGGCAACCTACTTAGCATAGAAGGCGGCAATAGCAGCAAGATAGACAGAGTGTATCCAACGAGGTGACGTGCCATGAAATGCAACACTCCAAAGGCCAACATGTTTAACCATGAACTTGTATTGTTGCTCCATGTTGTTCAATGGCCAGCCAGTGTATTCCTTCCAGACATCCTTCACAAAAATCTGCATGTATAGTCCACATTAGGCAAGATCTATTTGAAATCATGGTAGGTCCAATGCACCAAAGGCTTTTGTATCTCCCTAGACTATGAGAATCATATCAAAGTAATAAGACGAGTTTGGCAAGATGCTAAAGAAGCTAAATGACATTTTATTTTGCCATAGCTTCTTCTCTCCCATTGTTTCTTTTCTTCATCTGCTCTGAAATGCTTTTCCTTGAGCCGAGGGTCCATATGAAACAAGCTTAGTGTAAGGTCGGCCTACACTCTACCCCCTCCCCGGACTACACTTGTGACCACACTGAATATGTTGTTGTTGTAAATCAATATGCCATAAAAGAATATAGTTTTGAGGTTACAAAAATAGGAGAGGAAGAGAGTCTAAAATATGTTTTTGCTTAAACCATAGCTTGTAACGTCATTATTAAACATCAAACACGCAATCTGAATATCTGGAACAAGGTTTACTCAATTTTAAAATCAAAATCAAAGTTTTCCAATAAAAAATTTGACCTCATTAGATGGACCCCATGGGACCACATGCCATTGACATGTACTTAACAACTAAGCAAGCAAATCACAGAAGCTCCAAAAATTCCAAGAACCAAAAACCAATCTAGTTAAACAAAATCAGAAAAACATCAAAGATACAACAACAACATCAAACTAGTAATCCCATAAGCAGGGTCCAGAGAGGGTCGAGTGTACGCACACCTTACCTCTACCTTGAAAGGTAGAGAGGTTGTCTCCGATAGACCCTCGGCTAAAGGAAAAGCATATCAAAGCAGATATTAAGGAAAAAATGACAAAGAATTCTGGGGAAAAAACAGATAATTGGAGTACAAGAGATAGTAGATAGTAACAGAAATAGAAGGACAAGAAACTAAATGAGAAATAAAAGATCGAAGATGTGTAATCAATTAAAAGGAACAAAAACTAAAACTTACTCTATATTCATCCCCAAATTCTAACTTGAAAGCATCTCGAATTGCCTCAGCTGAAGCCCTATGTCCACCACCAGTATCACTCATCAAAATAAGCACATTTTTAGTCCTTTCAGCACCAATCTGCACCATTTCCATGGTGTCATATTCTTCATCTTGAAAATCACACTTTAATCTCTTCTGGCTGCTACCACCAACAAACCCATAAACCCCAACTCTCTCCAACACTCTGTGTATAGATTTCCTAGGGGTAGTCACATTACTCACCATATTCTAACCTCTTTTTTTCACCAATCCTAACAATAAGTTACCTGAAAAATGTACACAAAGTGTCAAATACCAACCAGTAAAAGGACAGAGAGAAGGAAAAAAAAAAGCAACTTTCAACAACCCTTTTACCTGAAATTGGGTTTTCTGGCAAAGATCACAAGAACACAAAAAAGGCTTAAGAAAATCCAAGATTTGGACACCCTTTTTCAAGAAGATGAATGGTAGATATCTAGAGAATAAATGGGGTTGTTAACTTTCTATATCCGGTAAAACATCAAAAGAAGTTGAGTAAAGTTAAAACAATAACAAGTTTTAGTAACAAATTTTAAGAAAAATCAAACTTTGGACTTACAGAGCTAGACAACACAAGTAAGAAGAAAATAGGGTACTGGTTCAACAAATTTTAAGAAAAATTCAAGATTTGAACACCCTTTTTCAGAAAAATGGAGATTACAGAGCTAGACAACACAAGTATGAAGGAAATGAAGAGAAAGATCAAATTTTGGACACCCTTTTTCAGAAAATGGAGATTACAGAGCTAGACAACACAAGTATGAAGGAAATGAGGAGAAAGATCAAATTTTGGACACCCTTTCTCAGAAAATGGAGATTACAGAGCTAGACAACACAAGTATGAAGGAAATGAGGAGAAAGATCAAATTTTGGACACCCTTTCTCAGAAAATGGAGATTACAGAGCTAGACAACACAAGTATGAAGGAAATGAGGAGAAAGATCAAATTTTGGACACCCTTTCTCAGAAAATGGAGATTACAGAGCTAGACAACACAAGTATGAAGGAAATGAGGAGAAAGATCAAATTTTGGACACCCTTTCTCAGAAAATGGAGATTACAGAGCTAGACAACACAAGTATGAAGGAAATGAGGAGAAAGATCAAATTTTGGACACCCTTTCTCAGAAAATGGAGATTACAGAGCTAGACAACACAAGTATGAAGGAAATGAGGAGAAAGATCAAATTTTGGACACCCTTTCTCAGAAAATGGAGATTACAGAGCTAGACAACACAAGTATGAAGGAAATGAGGAGAAAGATCAAATTTTGGACACCCTTTCTCAGAAAATGGAGATTACAGAGCTAGACAACACAAGTATGAAGGAAATGAGGAGAAAGATCAAATTTTGGACACCCTTTCTCAGAAAATGGAGATTACAGAGCTAGACAACACAAGTATGAAGGAAATGAGGAGAAAGATCAAATTTTGGACACCCTTTTCAGAAAAATGGAGATTACAGAGCTAGACAACACAAGTATGGAAGAAAGATCAAATTTTGGACACCATTTTAAGGCCCTTTTTCTTCTTCTTAAGAAAATGGACCTAGACAGTACAAGGATGAAAAAAGGGTACTAGTTCAACAAATTCAAAGAAAATTTCAAGATTTGGACACCCTTTTTCAGAAAACGGAACTTAACATAATAATTCAAGATTTGAACACCATTAAAGACCCTTTTTCTTCTTCTTCAGAAAATGGAGCTAAGACGGTACAATTATGGAGGAAATGGGGTGGGTTTTTTCAGTACAATTATAATAAGAGGAGAAGGGAAGGTGCTGTTTAAGATACTGGAATGATGCCTTTTTTCAGTTCAAAATAAAAAAGAATGATGCTTTACAGGGAAAACACAATAATGGCGGAGTTTTTCATGGATTTATAGCCGTCGGATTCATTCTGCTTAGAGAAATTTGGAACGATTCGCATATTGGGGTAGGAAACTTCGAATGTTCTTGGAATCTTTTTTAAGTAGTAATAGTTTAATAGTGGTAATTAGTGGCATACACCGAATTTTTAGTGAGCGGTGTAAATATTTAAAAATTAATAAATAATTAATAATTAATATAATAACATTATATAAATAAAAATATTTAAAACGTACTAATAAAACCCAAGTCAAGTAAACTACTAAACTTTCCTCGACGAGTTTTTATATTTGAAATGTATTGATAGCCTCATTGGAGAATGGAGATAGTACTAAATATTTTAGTGCAATTGGTTTAATTAAGCCTAATTTGATTATAAATAGGAAGTTGGAGGTTCGAATCCCTATAAAAATCAACAAAGCTTGAATTGGGCCGCGCCTGGTAGGAAACTTCGAATATTCGAATGGACATATTCGAATCTTTTTTAAGAATTAGTATTAGTTTAATAGTGGTAATTTAGTGGCAATGGCATATGTAGGATTTTTAGTAAGCGGTGTCAATATTTAAAAATTAATAAACAATAAAAATTAATATAATAACATTATATAAATAAAAACTATTTAAAATGTACTAATATAACGTAAGTCAAGTAAATTACTAAACTTTTCTCGACGAGTTTTCATATTTGAAACGTATTGATAATAGCCTCATTGGAGAATGGAGATAGTACTAAATATTCTAGTGCAATTACTTTAATTTAGCTAATTTGATTATAATAGGAAGTTGGAGGTTCGAATCCCTATAAAATTAAACTTTTCTCTGAAAAAATGTTTCAAAAATAAAAGCCAAATTTGACATCATCGGGGATCGAATCAGGCCACGCCTGATAAGAAACTTCGAATATTTGAATGGACAGATTCGAATCTTTTTTAAGAATTAATATTAGTTTAATAGTGGTAATTAGTTTTAACAATTAGTATTAGTTTAATAGTGATAATTAGTGGTAGTGGTGTACGCAGTATTTTTAATAAGCGGTGTCAATATTTAAAAATTAATAAATAATTAATAGAATAACATTATATAAATAAAAACTATTTAAAACGTAAGTCAAGTAAACTACTAAACATTCCTCAACGGCGAATGACCATGACATTCGCTCTGCAAACCAACGAGCCAAGAAGCTCAGTTGTTCAAGAAGTGTCATTAACATTATCTATAGGAATATTTCTATTTTTCAGATTTTTTAATATATATATAATACTACAAATTTTCAACGAAGCAGTGTCGATCGACACACCATGACATAAGGTGGGTCCTCCCCTGATTAGTGGTATTTTTTTTAGTGAGCTAATGTTATAAGTTATTTAATCTAAACATGTTATAACAGCTTAAGGCTGGAGATTAATTAACAATAAATCGGAGATTTGGAACGATAGATTGGAGATTTGGAGATAAGCTCTAGAGTTTAAAGGTTTCATGTAGAGTAGGATTAAAATAGAGTATATGGAATGCAAGTAAAATGTTGCATTATAGGAGGCGGATGGAGAGGTGGATAACAATGAAGAGTTGGTTTTCTATGTGATGTAAGAAGGTGTCATCGAGTCTTAAAAGTTAAGTTTTATAGACAAGATTGGAGTAGCTTATTTGATGGACAAGATATGAAAAACGAGGCTGAGATGATTCAGAGATGGTCTAATGAAAAGGTGTGAGAGACTCACTTGATAGTTTGAGGAGAGGTAGAGTTAGACAAATGAAGAATTGGAAAGAAGTTATTAGACATGACACATCTTTAACTCACAGAAAATCAACATGATCCTAAATAGGAGAACATGAAGGTCGATGATTAGGATACGAAGAGTTAATAAGTAGTCGAGTGTTTTGTCTCTTCCAAGTGTTAAATGACTAGATGGGAGTTCTAGCCTGGAACGTTGTTTTTGTTCCTTTACCAGTATTATCGTTATTACTATGTTAACATTATCTTATTCTTTGATTTTATCATAATTTCTTTTATTTTGTTATTTTACTATTTTATTGTTAGTACTTTCTTTTCTTCAATATCCTTATCATAACTTCTTATTTTTGCATTATGAAATTTTCTTGAGTCGACGGCCTATCACAAAAAAAGTGTAAAATTTACCCTTCTCGGACCATACTAACATTACTGGGCATATTATTATTGTTGTTATTATTATTGTTATAAAAACTATTGTTCTTGTGGAACGTTTGGATGTGCAAATTCAACCTTTTTCAAAAGTATTATTTTGATGGTAATTTGTGTTATTAGTGAAATGATTACTTTATTTGATTGTATACAATTTTGTATATATAAAAAAAAATCCTAAATATGTTATAAACAACACTCTTGCTATAAAAGCATGCCATTAAAATAAATATAAATATAAAAAATTTAATTTTAATTATTTTTGGATGATAAAACAAAATATCATTTAAGGGCATGAATGTGTCTCATAAAAAAAATTGTAACTAAAATGATGTTTCTCGATTTAATATTGTTTGACATTATTTCCTTATCAATTCGTCAAAACAAAATGATATATTTTTATATTTTCTTGTACTTATTACAACAAATGATATGACAATTCGAAGTCATACATTTCAAAGTTTTAAAATCATTACATATATAGAATACTTATTATCACAAGTTTAGAAAATTCACACTTTCTTTGATTAATTTTATGTCAAGTCAAATAATAACGACAATTTAATAAAATTTGGAGATTTTTGTCTTTTTGGCCCTATTACTTTGATGGAAAACTTTCAAATTATTGTTAACTGTTTTTGAAGTTATACTTTTCATCATTTTTGGTCATTGTCCATTACAGTTGTGTTAAGCCTACGAGTGTTGGCATCACCTTGCTTTATAATTGTGGCCTTCCATTTATTAATTAACCTAAAAATAATGGGATAAGGGTCTGAAAAATATCTCAACTTTGATCGAATCTGTTGTTGCGATACTAAACTTTCATGAGGACCTATTACCTCCCTAGACTATTTAATACCGTATTTTAAACATATATATTTACCCACGTGGACATAAAAACTAATACAAAATTATAAATAGTAATGTATCCACGTGGACACATATATACCTTTAAAATATACTATTAAATAGTTCAGGGGGTAAAAAATACGGTATTAAATAGTCTAGGGACGTAATAGGTCCTTATGAAAGTTTAGTATCACAACAGCAAATCCGATCAAAGTTGGGGTATTTTTCATACCCTTATCCCAAAAATAATTATAGTTTTTCTCATACATAGCTTTCATGGGTCATGATTAGCTTTTCATTAATTAGACAATTTTGGGATAATTTTAAAGATCTTTTTTAGGCATCGCTTCATAAAATTAATCTTTTTTGTGATTTATGATATAATTTTTTTGTTTTAATTTTAATTTTTCTGTAATATTAGCCTCTGGAATAAATTTTGATATTAATCGTGTGTTAAATTTTTTAAATTCGAAGAACAAAAAAAATTGGCCAAAAAATTTTGAACATTCATGACTAAAATTTTAGTCAATTTTATATGCACTTCAATCATACGTACATCATGATACATGAAAAATTCAAACACATATAAATGAAATTTATCATTTTTACATTTACTTCCGTCAAAAATGTACGAATTTTGATCTTTTCATATTTATAACATCAACCAAAAATGTCTGAAATTGATCTTAGTTGGTCATACCAAACTTCAAACAAAAATATTTGATGTTTGCGCTTTACAAGAGATACGATTTGGACAATGATATCTAAAATTAAATACGAATTTTTAACTTTAATCTCGTATGTCTGAAATTATTTCCATAAACTTGCAAAATTAATAATTTAAAAATAGGAGTATTCACACAAAAACTTGCAAAAGACACATATAAATTCTTTTTTAGAATTGATATTAATTATTTAAATCAATCTTAAGTAATTCAAATATTCACATTCTATTGACCTTAACATATTAGTACAATTTTTCAAAAAGAGTCCATTTTGTTTGAATATTTAACTATGGGCCGGGGGGGGGGGGGACATGAGACCCCTCATATTTAATTGTGACTAGTGATTGACTATTTGGGAAATAAAACAAAGCTAGTTGGTGGAAGATAAGTAGGCCAGATATATTATATGGCATTCACACAAGAAAGAAATTGGCAACTAGCCCTTTTTGTACCACTAATTATAAATATATTTAGCCATTTTTAACTAATTGAAGTTTAAAAAACTCCAAGAAATTTTCACACTTTCGAATTCCATGAATCGTTGCTGAAATTAAATTGATAAAATTTTAAACTCCATTAAATGTTTGAAATTCTAGAAAAATTTAAAACATAAGTTGTTTTAGGTTTTAGCTAAGAATTATCAAATTTCATTTTCACATTAAAACGTGACTACTTTTCTATTACTTTGATGAAAAAATTCATGATAGTCAATTCAAAATTCGTGATCATCACACTTTATCAATACAAATCGTCTTGCCAAGTGATCGAGTATGAATTAAAGAGTCATTCAATAGCTAGTAAAAAACATAACTTATACATGTATTAAAATTGAGATCATAATCAAGGTTTAATTTGTATTAATATTATATTAAGTAACCCCTATTTCTTGGGTTTCTATTTACAATCCTTTAAAAAATAATTGTTTAGATATTTTGTTAGTTTTTTCACGTGTTGTTGCTAAAATATAAATTGTGGATTTGGCCATTCACTTGACTAAATTAATAATTAAGGTCACCTAATTTATCAACCAATCACATATAATGTGCCCCTAACTATATTAATTAATTTTTCCAAACTTATATTGTATAGGGATATAAATAAAATAATATTCCCAGTATGTCTATATAAACTATATACATATTCTATAATTCTCCCTCCATTCAACTAATTTCCCAATTGATCCATTTTAATACACATTTGTATATGTCATTTTTACAATTTCACTCCAAATTAACCATAAATTTTCATGTCCAAACACAATTTCAATTTTCAACTACTAATACTTTTTTTAATAGGTTTGTCCTTGTAACCTTCACCACTTAATTACCAGCCTTTTGTTCTCAGCAGAAGTTCAAACACGTAACGTATGTCTTAACTACACATCATGTGTTGCGCTCTTACCACCAAACCAAAGATAGTAATTTGCATGCATAATCAAATAGACCTAATAGAGGCATGAACTAACCACAGTATCATACAACATTTAAAAAGTTACCATACATGATTCCCATTTATCATTTTTCAACTTCTTACTATACAATATTTGAAGATACAAAAAAAAACATTCAAAATCATGTACAAGATTGTATCTCCCTAGATGATTCTAATCTCCAAAAAGATGATCAGTATCCAGGTAAAGAAGCTGACCTACGACTCAATCCAGTTCTACTGATGCATCGACGTGAGAAACCAAGCCGAGACAAATTGGACAGGGCGGATCCTGTCTATCTTCACGGTTCGTTCTCTGTTCCAAACAATCAGCATGGTAAAGATGACCACAAGCTAAGACTGCCACTATAGACGTCTCGCCTATAGGCAAACTGTTTTCAAGGACAATGTAGGGTTCCTTCTTCAAAAACTTGTTGCATAATACACAAAAGAGTTTCCCTGCATCGGATGACATCACCCTCGTTGCCAATGAACTAGACGGAACACCTTCTGTTCTGTGAACTGTTTTTTGCCTATTATCTGACCAGAGAATGCAAAGAAAATGAAGTGAGACATGTTTCAAGCTCTAGTTTTTCAAGTAGATTCAACAGAAACACGAGAATCGTGCTAGACAAATACAAAAAGGAAAAGAGAAATCCTCACTGTGATGTAACACTGAGCTACTATCAAAATTACTGTTTTGTCTTATATCATGAGAACGACTTGGCTTCCGAGGCACAAAGGTCCATGTGAAACTACTTAGTTTTATATGAAGTTTCAGTTATAAGAAGAAGTTCATACCAAGCGCCAAGGGATTTTCAGGTGATTACGTATGAGGTTTAAGTAAAGGACATAGGGTGCACCTGTGTCATGTCCAGAATCTGTAGAGCATTTGCTTGCCATCTTTAAAGACCACTTCTCATCATAAGAAGGTGTATAACCACCATGGGAAGCTGATGCCTCAGCATTACTAGCAGACCTTCGTCGAGAATAATGACGGCCATAGTGACGCGGATGCCTCAGAGACTTTAGAAGGTCAATATTTCGACGGTGAACAATAGATGATTGTTGGCCTTGTGTTACCTTCACAGGACCATCCATGATATCCCCCGCAATGGTTAAAAAAGACTTTATTCCACTGCTGTCGACTTGATGAGAGAACTTCTGCTCATAATGCAAAATGAGATCTCTTACAAAGAAGACAAGCACAAAACACTCAAATAGTGTAGTACTTCAAGCTCATTTACGCTTGAAGTATCTACAACATTATATCACCTTCCAATCTAGTGGTGCATGAAGATTTCACTTTAGAATTATTCAGGATGGAACTTCAAAACCTCAAAAACAAGCAAACTTTCTAATCCTACGTCAAGAACCTCTATAATGTACGGGTATCAGCTGTTAAAGAAAAATAGCATTTACCTCCTCTTCGTGGTTAATGCATTCCAAAGAATGAAACAAAGACAAAGCACAAGGAGGTATGTATTAATCAATAAAGGAAAACTGAGAAAGTTATTGAATTCCATTATGAGATTAAAAAGCAAAGAGAACCTGTTTCGACAATGCATCCATTCCGGGTGAGGGTGGCATCAGGTCTGCAATAATTTTGTAAATTGGAATCATGATTCATTTGTCTTTTCTCCAAGAAAATTAGCACAAAGAAAACTGAGTTCGTTTTTCAGGAGGGAAGGGGGTTGAGCCATACAAGATTCACTTAGTTGTTCTTAGCTTCTATCGAAGAATAAAGGGAACAATACAACACAGAGAGAACAAAAATCACCCTGATAATTTTTATGCCATGCTATTATCTTGCGAAAAGAAGCACCCCCATTGTAATGTCAATAAGCTACTATTAGTTAAATCCGCTACAAATCGAAGAGCAAGTAAGAAGGCAACTTTAGACTTGAATGCATGTAATATGACAAGCTAAAGACCAAATCACCAAAGAACAGAAGTTTTTCGGGGAAAGGTACAGAAGAAGCTATATGCATGATACCCGTAAAACATCAAAGTTGTGAAATTGTGAACCATTGACAGTTAGAAATTGTGAAAAGACAAAAGAAGGGTGAAATACTTTACTGAATTGAGTTGTGAATAATACATAGAGAGCTCCTTATATAGGAGTTCCTAAATAGATGATCTAATGGTTTAAGGCATAGCAATTTCCAAATTTGAGATCCCGGGTTCAAAACCCTGCTACAACACTCAGTGTGAGCCCATCTACTTTAGCTTTGAAACACAGATTTACTCGACCTGTGCTTGTAGACTGTAGCAAACTACTCGATATACGAGTCATGGTGTACACAAGTTGATCCGGACATGAGGATGATAAGCGCGATGAAGTAAAGAGGCTTTCCTAATTGCTGGATTTCTAATTAGGACACAATTGTTAGAAAAACAAATATAGAAATGAACAAAAATACATATTATCATAAAGCAGTATAAAGTATCTCGATTTTCAACAGAAACAAAAGAGGATGTCAAACATGGCTACGTATAACCTTAAATAACGATCAAAGAAGAAAATAATTTTGTGATCTACATTAATTTGGCACCAAAAGGTCATGACCATACAACACAATGCAGGCAACCAATAAATCTTAGCAGTGAGTAATTCTGAAATAGCAATAACTTCCAAGGATCAGACGTCTTTTGGGCTTTAAAGAACGTACTTTTGACATCTTTTTTCCTAAATAACTTTACATTTAAATCGTATCTCTCAACAATGTTTATCAACTTTCACACGCTCGATCCAATATAATCATCAAGAGCCTGGAACACCACCGTTATTAAAAATCATCACAAACCAACTACTCGAACTTTCCGAAACAGAACCTTCTACTAACATTCCATCCACCAAACTCGGGACACTGAAGTTTGATCAAATTTAAACCTTCAACAAAAAAGGTCATTCATAAGACTGAACCAAGATATTTTCCATAAGCAGGACTGAGCTAGAGACAAAGCTACGGGTTCGGGTCAAAACCTTTTATTTGTGTTAAGAAATTCACTCACAATATGTACAAATAAATTATCCACAACCCCTTTTTTAGAATTCAAAACCTATAAACTAAAAATTCTGGCTCCGCCTCTGTCTAGTAGCAATATGGTTATAAAATTTGCAAAAATAAAAGAAAAGCAATAATCTTTTTTCTAACAAAAACAAAAATAAATCTCCATTTGCCACCAAACCATCTACCATCAAACTTTGGTGCACAACATTCCCCAAACACTTCTAGCACCCCCACCCCCCAAAAAAGAAGCAAAAAGCAACAAACCTATCTTTATTGCCACACCGGTGTTTGATTCTCCAAAATGCACTATTTTTAAAGTATCCAACACACAGCCGCCAACATTTTTGAAGAGTCAAATCAACAAAAAACTATCTTTTTTGCCACACCATGTCCGATTCTCCAAAATGCACTACTTTTAAAGTATCTGACACACACCCGTTAACATTTTTAAAGAGTCAAAGCAACATACACAAAAACTACAACAAAATGATAACCACTAACATCCCATTTCTCAATTAATGAATTCTAACTACTTATGCATCCCCTCTCTTATAAGATCAAAAAAATTATTTCTTGATAACAAACAACATGTAAAGGTCATAAACAATCAAATGCCAAAAAAAAACCCAATTTTTTTTTAAAAAAAAAATCATAAAATTAAAATCATGAACCCCATATAATACCTGCAGGAGGAGGAGTCTTGTTGAGGTCAGCTCTTCTCTTTCTCTTTCCCATAACCAACTTTATACAACAAAAAAATCTGTCACAAAGAAAAATGTACACAAAAAAAAAAAAAAAATTAGCAATTTTTTATGGAAAAATAAAATCAATGGTGAAAAATAAAAAAAACCAACAAAATTTACGGGGTTTTGGGGTTGCGAATGTCCTTGAAGATTGGGATTAGTGGTACGATCAAGAAAATTTTCAGAGAAAATTAGAAAATGTGTCACCACTTTGTGTTTCTGCACTAACTTTTTTTTTTATGATGAAAAATAAAATAAAAAATGAAACGTGTCTAAAGAAACGGCTGTTAAGTTTTCCTTACTTTTATCTTTTTTTACTTTTTTTTTTAAAAAATATCAAGATAATCCGTTGTTATTATAACCTCTGTCACAACTTTTTGATAGGCTCGACTTAGAAAGTATTGAAAGGTGATGGATTTGTGGTCATCTGTGTGGATGACCACGCTCCAAACCAATTAAGTCATTCCGGATGACTTCTTTTTTTACCTCTCATTTTTATGTTTTTTTGTAAAAAGAATAAAATAAAGAGCATTTTTACATTTTGGACTTTTTAAAAAAAAATATATAGTGTTAAAGAATATGGCGAAGAAAAATGAGGCTAAGTTAATGTTTATGATGGTAAAGGCGATAGCTTTCAAACGTTAGTATGTTGAACTATGGAATAAAAGCATAGATCAAGTGAAGGGTAAATGTAGAAGGCAAGATGTTGGTAGGAGAGACGCACATTAGATAAAGATGGCAAGCATACTCTCATAAACTTTTGATGGGATAGAGACATTGTGTTAGGTGATTTGGAACAATTTGAGCGACATTGAAACTTTGGGTAATGTAAATATTAGTATAATTTACATAAATTACATAATATTAAGAGCTAATTGCATTACAAATTACAAAAATCCCTTCAAATTTATGAATATCAAATACATCACTGGACTTTCAGCAGACATCTGAATATATAGGAAAGGGATGAATTCGAGAGGGGAGGGATGTATCATATAGGGGATATGGATGTATCAGAGAGGGGATAGCACATCTAGATACATAGGAGAGGGATGTATCTGAGATGGAGGGATGTATCATAGAGGGGATAAGACATTCGGATATACACATGAGAGGAATGTATCTGAGAAGGGATATGGATGTATCAGCTAGAGGGGAGTGATGTATCCGAGAGGGGATTTTTGAAATTCTTTTAAATGGTAGAGAATTTTAGAGATTATGATAAAATAAGATGTGTATTTAGGTAATTTTTCTTAAATATATTGGAAAAGTTTGTTTTGATGATTGGGCCAACATCTCTTGTTTCGTCTAACAGATAATTGAATTGGGCCGACCAAACCCAGTGTCTTAATGCTTCGTTTTGGGCTTTATACAACGCCACACGAAGCCCATTCATTTTGGGAAAGTGGGCTTCCATTTATTTATTTTTTTGAGAAAATTTTATAAATAGCTATAGTTTAGAGCCTAATTACAAAACATGGTTATAGTTTTTTGCGTATTTACGAAACATAGTTATGATTATTTTATTAGATGGATATCAATTGTATCATTTTAAGAGTTGTATTCAATTGACAGGTATCAATTGTATCAACTGAAATAACGTAAAAGAGTTGTATCAACACATATTGTATCAGCGTGTGTGTATTGTATATTCGCTACAAAATCCAAAACATAGCTACATTTCAATAATTAATGAAACTATAGCTAAGTAACTTAAATAAAGTCTGAATATTTGTCACTGCTTTGAAAAACTTGCTATGTATCACTACTCACCAAAATAATAATTAAAAACAATATATTTCTTATATATTATTGTATAAGATGCATAAAATATACATCTTTTATTATAAAACAGTATATATTTTTATATATTCAACTAGCGAATATAATTATTTTAATCGACTGCCAAATATGTAACTTGCTCTTTTTTTGGTTCTCTTCAATAAATTCTAATGCCCAATATACATTAGATCAATTGTGAATGTACTTTGTTTTGATTTTGAATTGCATATCTGCAAAGCTTTTGTAATTCGGGATCTTTATTCAAATAATTGGATAAATTTATTTTATTTTTATTTTAGCTAAAATTTATTTATTTTTAATTAAAGATTTTAAATTCAAGTATAAATAAATTCCTACTAAGAAATGTCTCCCCTTTATACAATCCGTATGCAACACTATAAATTAATCGGATTGGATCAAGATTAGATTCTGAATACCAAATAATTAAAATAAAATATTGAGGAATTGTTATTGATAGGAGAATCTTATTTCAATAAAAACAAAAGTAATGTGAATAAAAACAGAATCAAAGTTGATTTTATTTTATAAACAAAATCTATCAATAAATTTTTATGAAATTCAACCAATCATCTTAATCATAAAAAAATATAGAAAAATAAAAAATTCGAGTTATTAAATAATTTCCTAAATAATATGAAATGAGAAAACAAAAAAAAAGATTAAAAAAATTCTGACAAGTTGCATCATTGAATCTTCAATCTTGAATCTGGTTCCTTAATTATTGTAATTCTTTATTATTATTGTTATTTTATTTATTATTATTAATATTATTATTTTATTTTATTTTATTTTTGTTGGGGGGGAGGGGGGATGGATTCATTGGCTTTTAAAGCTAAATTGG